AGGTTGGGTTGGCATGATTTCCTCTTGACAAATCCGTGTTGGCTGTTACTTATTGTTGGCAATGGGGATTGAACTACGGCTCTGACTTTAACAGTATGAGCGTCTACTGCCAGAACTCAAAGACCCAACTGTGTAGCCTGAAGCCAGTAGCAGACTCTTAAATCTCGATATGGTCTAGTCACTACAGGGACCCAGAGAAGCAGAGGGTATATTTGATAGTTATAATATCTTCAGACCTATGCACTGACTACAGTTTATGCTTTATTGAAAGTGACAGAATTACACCAAGGGGTTTGCACTCAGCCCTTCTTTGTCTCCTCTTTCAGTGTACACCTCACTTTTCTCACCTGCCGAGGACAGTGCATCTGGGATAAATGGGAGAGAGAAATCGCACTCTGGTGACTGAGTTCATCTTGTTGGGATTCACAGACAACCTGAAGCTGCAGGTCACCCTCTTTGTAGTGTTTCTGTTGATCTACTTGCTGATCCTAATGGGGAACCTCACCTTGGTCACCTTAATCAGGACTGACTCCCGACTTCACACCCCCATGTACTTTTTCATCAGCAACCTGGCCCTCTTAGATGTCGGCTACTCCACCCTCATAGTTCCCAGCACGCTGATGACCTTTGTTGCAAGGAGCAAGGTCATTTCAGTCACTGGATGCACTGTGCAGTTTTTCTTCTTCTCCATCGCCATCTCTTGTGAATGCTGGCTGTTGAGTGTGATGGCGTATGACCGCTTCACGGCCATCTGCAGCCCATTGCTCTACACCATCATCATGTCCAAGCGGTTCTGCGTGCTGCTGGTGCTGGGGTCATATTTCATGAGCTGTCTGAATTCAATGGTTCAAACTGCATTTATATTCCATTTGTCATTCTGTGATGCCTATATCAATCATTTCTTCTGTGATGTGCCCCCCATTGTGAAGCTGTCCTGCTCTGACACCCACATCACAGACATTGTTCATTTCACCTGTGCGACGATGCTAGTAACAACTACCATCCTGATTATCCTCATCTCCTATATATACATCATGGTCACTATCCTAAGGATCAACTCTGCTAAGGACCAATGCAAAGCTTTCTCCACCTGCGTCTCCCACCTGATGGCCGTCACCATCTTCTACGGAACGGGCTCTTTCATGTATTTACGGCCTAGTTCAAAGTCTTCCATGGATCAGGACAAAATCATCTCTGTGTTTTATACCCTTGTGATCCCCATGCTGAACCCCCTGATCTACAGCCTGAGGAATAAAGAGGTCAAAGAGGCCTTTAGGAGGATAAGAGAGAGGAAGGTTTTTTCTCTGTAAATGTAAAAACTGGGTCTGGCTTTAATTCAATAGAGGGAAGAAAAGGCGGGGAATGATTTCTCTGTATTGTTAGCTTGATTTCTGTGAATAATCAATGTGTGCACCTTCCATGAAAAGGAACAAAGGAAGGTAGATTTTCCTAGTTCTTACATCACTAAATGCATCAGGAATAGTTATCAGAGAAGAAACGGGGGACTTTGTCAAGGTTTGTGCAGCTGGCTCTTATAACACAGAAATATATTAGGAAAACCTGTCAAACAAACAGACTCATGAACCAGCAATGCAAATTGCCTTTTGCTAACTAATAGAAAATAGATGCATTCAACTCACATAGGCAACGTACATTAATTAAATCATGGAATTTGTTTGTTGTTGCAGCTATAAGTGCAATTAAAAAGGAGATGTGATGTAACCACAATAAGAAAGTAGT